GCCAAGAAAAACGTTGTTTATGGACGAAATCTCCACTGGTCTTGACAGCTCAACGACTTTCCAGATTGTGAAATGTATCAGAAACTTTGTCCATCTAATGGATGGGACTGTTCTTATGGCACTTCTTCAGCCTGCACCAGAAACGTTTGATCTGTTTGACGATTTGATTCTGCTATCAGAAGGTTACATGGTGTATCAAGGTCCTCGACAAGATGTCGTAGGCTTCTTTGAGTCTCTAGGGTTCCGTCTCCCACCACGTAAAGGTGTCGCAGATTTTCTCCAAGAGGTATATATACATCCCAACACTTTTCTTTGGTTTCATTTTTTAAGTAATGTTTCTTGCTACACACGCAATTTTGCTTTCTTGTTGTGTATTTATTATATCCTTACTCTTTTTGTTTTTGTTTGAGTGGAGTAATGCTCTTGCTTCACGCAATTTTACTTTCTTGTTAACACCTCACTATCTCATTTCTTTTCGTTTGAGTTCACGCAATTTTACTTTCTTGTTGTAGATTTAGTTAACACATCCCAACACTTTTATTTTGGCATTTAGGTGACTTCAAAGAAGGATCAAGCTCAGTACTGGGCAGACCCTTCGAAGCCATATCAGTTCATCCCGGTCTCGGACATAGCGGCTGCGTTTCGTAGCTCGAAATACGGTCACGCAGCAGATTCCAAGCTTGCAAAGCCATTTGATAGGTCATCCGCGGATCCTTCGGCTTTATGCAGAACGAAATTCGCCATATCAGGATGGGAGAACCTTAAAGTTTGCTTTGAACGTGAGATACTATTGATCAACCGTCACAGATTTCTTTACACTTTTAGGACATGTCAGGTATTATTTGGCATAATAGCTTTAGATCTTCATTTGAGCTTCATAGTGTTTGGCATAACATTTGTTTGTTTTTCCATCAAGGTTGCATTTGTGGGATTTGTCACAGCCACTGTGTTCTTGAGAACAAGGTTACACCCAACAAACGAAGCATATGCCAACGAGTACTTAGCTTGCCTGTTCTTCGGCTTAGTGCACATGATGTTCAATGGTTTCTCTGAGCTGCCTCTCATGATCTCGCGTCTTCCCGTCTTCTACAAGCAAAGGGATAACTCGTTCCATCCTGCTTGGTCCTGGTCTGTCGCCAGCTGGATCTTGCGTGTGCCTTACTCTATCCTTGAAGCTGTTGTCTGGACTTGTGTGGTTTACTACAGTGTGGGACTTGCTCCCTCACCAGGCAGGTTGGTAATTTCTTGAGAATGTTAAACATTACTTTAGACTTCTTGAAATGCTATAATGATCTCTTTTTTTTTTTTGTATCCTTAGATTTTTCCGATACATGTTAATCCTCTTCTCGGTGCATCAAATGGCTCTCGGTTTGTTTCGTATGATGGCTTCTATAGCTAGGGATATGGTCATCGCCAATACATTCGGATCTGCGGCAATCTTAGTAGTGTTCTTGCTTGGTGGATTCGTTATTCCAAAAGGTTAATTAATTTGCGTCAAATAAATATGTTTTTTTGTTGATTCAAGTTGTTAATACTAAAAACGTTATCATTTTTTGACAGATGATATTAAACCATGGTGGATTTGGGGTTTCTGGATTTCGCCGTTATCCTATGGGCAACGTGCCATTGCAGTTAATGAATTCACAGCCACGAGGTGGATGGAGGTATGTTTAATAATCTCTTAACAAAGTTGATAATACTTTTTTTTAGAATATACAATATGCTCAACTACAGACTTTTAAACATCATGCAGCCATCAGCTATATCGAATACTACAATTGGATTAAACCTTCTCAAGCTACGGAGTTTTCCCGAAAACGACAATTGGTATTGGGTTGGAGTCGCTGTCCTTCTTGCTTATGCAATTCTCTTCAACAACATAGTCACTCTCGCCTTGGCTTATCTCAACCGTAAGAGTCTCTATTGCTCTAATGATCATTTCTTATAGATAATATTTAGCAATATTATGAAGCTTAGTTCTTCTTCATTTTTTTCCTCTTGCAGCTCTAAGAAAAGCTCGAGCAGTTGTATTAGACGATCCCAATGAAGAAACCAAAACTGCTTTTGTATCAGATGTAAAACAAGCAAAAATTGAGAAAAAAGGAATGATTCTTCCATTCAAACCATTAACAATGACTTTCCACAATGTTAACTATTATGTTGATATGCCAAAGGTTAACTCCACTTCTCTATTCTACTTCCCTCGTATCATTTCTTATCTATGGTTATATAAAGATGTTTTTTTAAAATCCGAAATCTCTCAGGAAATGCGTTCTCATGGTGTGCCAGAGACAAGACTACAACTGTTATCAAGCGTAAGTGGAGTCTTCTCTCCTGGTGTTCTTACAGCTTTAGTTGGATCGAGCGGTGCGGGAAAAACTACATTGATGGATGTTCTTGCGGGTCGAAAGACTGGTGGGTATACCGAGGGAGATATCAGAATCTCCGGTTACCCAAAAGAACAACAAACATTTGCTAGAATCTCTGGATATGTTGAGCAGAACGATATACATTCTCCTCAAGTAACTGTTGAAGAGTCCCTATGGTTTTCTGCTAGCCTTCGTCTTCCTAAAGATATCAGCAAAGAACAGAAAAAGGTAACTACGTACATGAATGAGTTTTACAACATTTCTTTCCGATTTCGATATATAGTTTCACTAAGAATATATTCGTTGTGTGTTTTGTTTAGGAATTTGTGGAAGAAGTTATGAGACTTGTAGAGCTTGACAGTCTGAGATATGCGTTGGTGGGTTTACCCGGTACAACCGGACTTTCCACAGAGCAGAGGAAGCGGTTAACAATCGCGGTTGAGTTAGTGGCGAACCCATCAATAATTTTCATGGATGAACCAACCTCTGGACTTGATGCAAGAGCAGCTGCAATCGTGATGAGAACTGTTAGGAACACTGTTGACACTGGAAGAACAGTGGTTTGCACCATTCATCAGCCCAGCATTGACATTTTCGAGGCCTTTGACGACGTTTGTGCTTTGCCCTAAGTTTGCCTTGCATTGCAAGTATTTTCATCAGTTGATGATCTTAACGTGTGTTCTTTTTTTTATTTTAACTCTAAAAACACAGCTGCTTCTAATGAAACGAGGAGGACAGGTTATATATGGTGGGAAATTGGGTCAACACTCACAGGTTATGGTAGACTACTTTCAGGTACTAGTCTTGGCTTTTCTCTTCTTTTCTGCTTTTACAATCCTTGTATCCCAAGTAAGCTACAATGATCAAGCCCTACAGCCTAATTAAACGAAATCCTCTACAGGGGATTAACGGAGTCCCTTCAATCTCAAGTGGTTACAATCCAGCAACTTGGATGCTTGAAGTAACTACGCCTGCTTTGGAGGAGAAATTTGACATGGACTTTGCAGATCTATACAAGAGATCTGAACAGTTTAGGTAACTATATCACAACTCATTCAGGCTTTAGCTACATTTTTTCAATCTTTTGTAATAATAATCACTATCACAAATTTAAAGCTAACCATACTGTCTATCTACTATACAGAGAGGTGGAAGCAAACATCAAACAACTCAGTGTTCCACCAGAAGGCTCAGAAGCAATTAATTTTTCCTCAAGGTACTCACAGAATCAAGTATCTCAGTTTCTACTCTGCCTCTGGAAACAGAACCTTGTCTACTGGAGAAGTCCAGAATACAACCTCGTGAGACTGGTCTTCACAACGATCGCTGCGATTATACTCGGCACCGTTTTCTGGGACGTTGGTTCCAAGAGGACTTCCACACAAGATTTGGTCACCGTTATGGGAGCTCTCTACTCGGCGTGTCTGTTTCTTGGAGTCAGTAACGCCTCATCGGTACAACCAATCGTCTCAATCGAAAGAACAGTTTTCTACAGAGAGAAATCCGCGGGAATGTATGCTCCGATTCCATACGCAGCAGCTCAAGGCCTTGTGGAGATACCTTACATTCTCACACAAACCATTCTTTATGGTGTCATCACATACTTCACCATTGGTTTTGAAAGAACATTCAGTAAGTTGAAATATCACTCAAATCTTTCTCTGTATGCATATCATCGACCATGTATTAATATATAAAATTTTAAAAACGCAGGCAAGTTTATACTCTACTTGGTGTTCATGTTCCTCACTTTCACCTACTTCACCTTCTACGGCATGATGGCGGTTGGTCTCACCCCGAACCAGCACTTAGCCGCTGTTATCTCCTCTGCGTTTTACTCTCTCTGGAATCTCCTCTCCGGTTTCCTCGTTCAAAAACCTGTAAGTAGTCCATTATATCAAAATGAAAAATGTAGTTTGATGGATCATCTTCTTTAATATTTTTTATTTGTTCTTCAGCTGATTCCAGTGTGGTGGATATGGTTCTATTACATTTGTCCGGTGGCTTGGACACTTCAAGGAGTGATCCTTTCGCAGCTTGGTGACGTGGAGAGCATCATCAACGAGCCAACGTTCCATGGCACGGTCAAAGAGTTTATAGAACAGTTCTTCGGCTTCAAGCCAGACATGATCGGTGTATCTGTTGCTGTTCTTGTCGGTTTTTGCGCCCTCTTCTTCTCTGGATTCGCACTTTCAGTCAAATTCCTCAATTTCCAGAGAAGATAAGAGACGAGACAAAGGATTTTTTTCGATTTTTTTTTTTTTGGCTCTTTCTCACCAATAGTGAGAAAATTTTATTTTACCACAAAGATTTGGATTTAACATTGACGAAAAAAAAAAAACTGTTTTGTTCTGTTTAGGATTTCTCTGCTTTAGTAGTTTGTATTCCACATTTAATTCATGAATATCAGTATAGTTCAATTGCTGTCTTTCAATCTGTTGGATTTTTTTGTTCGCGATTACTATGTAAAAAGAAAAAAGAGCAAAGTTGCTTACTGCTATAAACAAAACAAAAAATTCCCAAAAGTTTCACCTTTTTTTTCTTTTATTTTCCCTTGCTGGATTATCTTTGACAATTCCTCTTCATTACCACCGTCATTTTCAACTTCACCGTCCAATTAGATTCTTCCAACGCACTGTCTTGTTAGTAACCTATTGGTCCTTCACAAAATCTTGTCATAATCATCTTCTTGAACACAATAAACCGCTTCTTCTTGAACACAATAAACCGCTTTAACTCTTGTTGCAAAAAAATAAAAATAAAATTAATAAACCGCTTTTCTAGTCGGTTCTTCCTTCAGAAGACAAACACTAGATGCGTTTGTAAATTTTGATCGGCGCCGTGAGAACTTTATTTTTTCAAAAACCATGGAAGCATCGAGACGTCGATCGCTCGTCGGGAACAACCGGAAGAGCAAGCGAGCTCTGGTGGAGAAGATGAACGAAGAAAAAGACGACGATGATGTTGAGGCGGCGGATGATGAGGAGTTTGAAGACGTGGAGGCGTGGGATACGCTGAGTAATGGCTTCAAGCGTGCGCAGCTCGTTCTTGATCAGAATCGTGATCTGATCCAACGCGTCAACGACAACCACGTGTCCCGAATCCCAGATAACGTCGCAAGAAACGTTGGCTTGATTAACGAAATCAACGGTAATATCTCGAGAGTTATGGAGATTTACTCCGATTTAGCCGTCGATTTCACCAAAAAAGTTCATGAGCGGCGGAGGTCGGCCAAGAATAGCGACACTTTGACTTCCACCACCGGTTGCTACGGCGGTGGACGGAGCTCTCGCGGTTCTTGAGCGCTAATCGCAAAGTCAATTCGATCATTAAAGCTTTGGTTTTAGCTGATGTCACTCATGACGTCGTCTTTCTGTTCCGTTGTGTGTAGTGGAAATTATTAGTGAAAAACAGAATTAGGTGTTTATGTCATTAACTATATGGTGGATTAGGATCTTCATATGCACTTGCTCTTGGTTTATATGGACGTACATAGTCTCCTGCGATTTCGACCGTCCTAAAGCGTGTTCTGTGATCTTGATTTTGCATGTCTTAACTCGTATAATCATTGATATTGAGATTACATTTCAATGGTCCGTTGTTTTGGCAATGGGTTAAAGATATGAGTTTCACCAAGAAGATGGACCGTATTATAAATGACTACAAAGTTTACATAAAATTAGCAATTATATGTATCTATTTGTTGTCTATGCGAACAGCGCACGAAACCTAAGGAATCCTAGATTATATAAAATCCTAACCACATATAGAAGAAACGTGTAACCGTAATCACATTAAAAATGATATTATATATGGATACCAAAAGGTTTTTTTTTTCCTTTGGCAAATGCAAGCATATTAAAAATGACATGGAAATTGAATCATATATGATTCTCAATGGGAATCATTTTAATTAGGTTACACACACAACTTTGGTTTCAAGTGATAAAAGATTATACTTATCCTTCCTCGCTAAGTTACTGCACTCAAACCCTAACGTATCCGCCACGATTTTCTGCACATGGTTAGCCACGTCATGAGGGCTTTTCCCGGCTGAACACGTCTCCTCTATCGGAAGCTGGTCTAAGAATGTAACCTCGTAAGCCGGTCTCGGATTCATGTACAGAAAGATCAAGTCCAGAACACAGCTTCTTACACGGTGTTTAAAGAATCCAACTCTACAGTTCATCGCCACAGGCACGATCCTGTCCGTTAACTCCGCAAACATTGCGCTAAATCTGCAATTCATAACAAGATAAATAAAATGACTGCCTAATTAACTTTGGATAATAACTAAAAGATTATAACAAAAAAAAAGCAAGAAAAACTAACCTGAGCACGAACGGTTGACAACCAATGGTGCCTTCGGGACAGACCACTAAATCTCCTTTGGACAGCTCGTGCTTCATCATTTGAGCATCAACGTCACGGTTTCTTGTAAACTGGACGGTGGGGACTGGACTCATGATATCGTAAAACCGTGAGAGAGTAGAAATTCTAACGGCGGGGATGGCGCGTCCGAGCGCATAAGATATCATCACCGGATCTATCATATTTCTATGGTTACATACAAAGAGTACGCCACCAGAGTTTCCAGCTTTAGGAACGTTGCCCTTCACGATGACTCGGCAGCCTAATATTTCAATGACGTAAGGTAGAGCCCACACCGGGAGGATAAACACAACGAGTCGGATGGTAGCAAGAACGAATCCAACTGGGAACCAGAGGAGGATGAGGAGAGCCGTCGCTGGCGTTGGTCTCTTCACGAGGCGTCCGTCGTGGAAGATCACCGGCTTGGGTGGTTGTAGCTTAAGTTGTTGGTCATTTGTTGGAACTGGTCCTTGAATCTGCACCTATCATATATTATACATAATTTAATATTCAAAAAATGATGTCATCTAAAATTTCTTATCATCAATTTATTTTCTGTACATTTGATTTTTAAATTATCGTAAGTTTTGGATCAAAGCATGTAATATAGTTTTGTTCAATACGTTTTTCAATCATGTGACCTTTATTTTATTTCATGTACATTTTAAGTAATGGATATGGAATTACCTCACATAACGATAAGAAAGTTGTGGAAATCGTCTTGGTCGGTCTTCCAAGACCTAGATGAGGCCTCCGGTCAGCAAAGAATTTAGCGACACGGCTCAAAACAGATTGATCAACATCGGTTTCACGTATTAGACCGGTGACAAAACCGAACCGGTTCACGATCAGGTCCGTGCCGATGACCTCGTCGGCACCAAGATGCTCCCTTGCGAACCACTCGACCATAACACGAGGCATACTCGTCACCACGACCTTCTTCTTGCACGAGCTGAAGACCCTCCACGTGTCCATGCTCACGTCATCCATGTAGAAACTGGGCAGGACGGCTTTACCGACCGCTTCAATCTCCGGTAGGCGTAAACCAACCGTGGCTACAAAAATCATGAGCTTGAGGGCGGCGTTTTTGTGGCCGAAAACATCAAGGAGTGTGATGACGGGCCAGAGAGATAGCAAGACGGTGAAACGAGTCAGACCAGATGCGTCGAAGGCAAGGAGCATGAAGTAAGAGAACAAATCCTCACTCTTTAGTACTGTCCCTTCAAACTCCGACACCACCGAGTATGGCATCGTTTTTGATGTATCCATGACGATGTGTTTTGTATATTGAGTAGTTGTACTTTTTTGTTTTTTTTTGTTTGCTCGATGATTAAAATGGGTTAAAGAGTTAATCTTATATAGATAGCGCCGGCTAAGTATCATTAGGAGCCTCGGGTATAAATTAATGTTTAGGCCCCAGCTAATGTTTTTTTAACAAAGACATGTAATCTAATAACTTATAATATGAAAAAAAAAAATTGTGGCATTTATATTACTATCAGACGTGGAATTGGATCGAGGGCGGTAGCACTCTGTCCCCATAATAAGCCGGCCCTGTGATTTTTGATGGGTTTATCTCGTAAGTATATAACTTTCTGAGCTTAATTATACAATGCATTATGCTTTTTTGGTTAAAAACAAAAAATATAAGACGATAAATATATCTAGACATAAAGTATGTACTCAAGCAAATATACTCTTCATCATATATAGTATTAACGTTAACAATCGACACGTCAAAAGTATGATATTTCCGCTCTTTCAGAAAAAGTTTTATTTTACAAATTTCCACATATATGAAAAAATTATTTAAAAAAGTGTTTGACAGTTTATTAAAACGCTAATTAATAACATTTTCTTCTACACTTTATACAATAAAGTAGTAAAATTAAATATAGATCTTTATTCAAAATTTTACATAGAAAATATAAAATAACACTTTTTATAAAACAAAAATAAAATCATAAAATAATACTTTTTAAAAAAAAAACGGATAGTATATGGATTAACTTTTCTTTAATTGCTGTCCCATGTCTTTATCAATGAAATTAAACTGTAATTTTCTCGTATATATAATGCGGATCTAACAAAAATGAAGACTATAAAATGTAACTTGGGGCACTCCCTAAAGTCTAAGCACCATGTTTATGAAGAACATTCTTATTTCTTATATATAAACAAACTATATAAAATTCAAAAGAGGGATGTCATTCCTACCAACTTTGAAAGAGCAAGAGATCTTCGGAATCTTGTATCTTTAGAAAAATAAATCAAAAAGATTTGTCAATCAACCAGCTGCATAAATGTGTATAGATTACTTAAACGATTAAGTGACTATATTTTTAGAAATCATGCATGTGCTAAAATAATCACTTCATCCAATCCCTCAGCATGATTGGATTTGGAGGCACGTTTATTGACAACTTGCATAACAAGTTTGTGGGAAAGCATGAACTTTAATTTCACCAATAATATTCATAAAACGAATTTGAAGCTCGCATCTTAAATAATACAGTACTAAAACATCTAATGTTTATATAATAGAAAAAAAACTACAAAATAACATGTATACCAAACAAACCACAATCGAATTAGTAAGATATTATCGAGATACTTTTTATTTTTGTGCTAGGTTACGTGAGTGGTAGTTTTACGAAAAATACCTTTAAGATTACTAACTTAGAAACATAGATATTCAAATCTAATCATTGATACTTTGTATTAAAATAAAAGCTGTAATGTGTACCCCTGGCTCTGGTCACAATAATATAGTATCTCTTTGAGAAAACATAATTAGTAATCAAAGTGGTTTTATGGTTATAGACTTATAGTAATCAGCATACATAATTTCTGATTATTGATTCTGCAAATGTTAGTGGTCTATAAGTCTTGGAAAGATCATCATGGGTTCTGTAGAGAATGATTATTTTGGTCAGAGGAAAAAAACAAGCTCTGAAACTGAAGCCATTCTGTTCCTTGATAGCATTTGGGGCATGTTTATAGTATAAGAACAACTTTTGAAAAAAAAAAAAACTAATTATCTTCATGAAGAATAAGAGGAAGAAGTGCTTATAGGGTTTTAGAGAGGAAGCTCTCCACTGTCTACAATAACGACTTTGCTCTTAGGAGTTCCACTTTGCTTTCCTTCAGCTTCAACCTTGTAGACAACATCCATGCCTTGCACCACTTTCCCAAACACAACATGTCTTCCATCTAACCAACTTGTTGTCACGGTCGTGATAAAAAACTGCGAACCATTTGTGTCTTCTCCAGAGTTTGCCATCGAGAGAAAACCTGTGTCCAGATATTCAAAACCATCATCAGCCTTCACAACAATCTACGACACTTTTCTTCCAAACTAGGCTTAAAGAAAGAAGTAAACGATGATAGTCACCTGGTCCGGTGTGCTTCAGCTTGAAGTTCTCATCTTTAAACTTCTGACCATAGATTGATTCTCCTCCCATACCGTTTCCGTGAGTGAAGTCACCTCCTTGGATCATAAAGTTGGGAATGATTCTATGGAATTTGCTTCCCTTGTAGTGTAGAGGCTTCCCGCTCTTCCCAACACCTTTCTCCCCTGTTTCCATGGAAAAGTTTAAAGCACTTTATCACAACCACGCACCAAAATCATGAACACAACTTCACATTGTGAAAACATTTATCTCAAATCATATTATATTCTTCATGCTCTAACATTAGACCCTCCAAAACAAGTGTTCAAGGAGATACTTGACACTCTTTGTCCTCCTTGTAATATTGTTTCGAGATTATAAAGAACATAAATAGTAACGTACCTGTGCACAGAGCTCTGAAGTTTTCTGCAAGAAGGAAACACACTCACGGGATTACTCTCTTGTATTTTGAAATTCTTATGCAGATTAAAATAGTCTAAAGTCAAAATCATATATTTTACCTGCAGTTTTCGGAACTGTCTTGCCGAATAGGCCTATAACAACTCGACCTGCGAGATTAATAGTGATCAGAGAATCAAAAATCAAAAGAAACCAAGAATCAGAAACAAATGAGAAAGAAAAAAACACAAACAGTGATACTAAAAGAAACCCATTTTCACAAATCAGTAAAGCTGATGAACAAACATTTCACTAAGATTATCGATTCATACCAGCTTCTTGCCCATCAATCTCTACATCGAAGTAAACCTTGTGAGTGATTTCCTTCAGATCTTCTTTTGCCTGATATTAAAACCCACAAACCCATTAATCACAAGTTCACAACAGAGATTAAACAAACAGTTGACTTCCATTAGAACCTAAGCAAGGGTGCTTTTGACTTATCTCAACAACAGTCAGATGCAGCGCAATAAAGAATTATCCAAAAAAAACGTAAGCAACTGAAATTCTAGCTTATATGATGAGTGATTACAATCTATCGAAACTAAAGGAAAGAAGAGTTGCTAGATCTGGATCATCGTGGTTTAGATTCAGTGTCGAATGAGTGTAGTGAATCATTGAACAGATCCAGAATCGGGAAGATGGGAAAAAAGGTACCTGGATTAAAGCTAGGGAAGCGAATAGGAGGATCGTCGCGAATATAATAGAGCTTGATCTCACCATCTTCGTTATCGTTTTCGTCACAATCGAAACAGAAAGTGTGGAAAAAAAGTAGAGAGTAGAAGAAGGAAGGAAGATTGTTGATGAGCTGAAAGAAGCTAACATACGCCGGAGTTATTATTGGGCTTCTAATGGGTTTACTGTGGGCTATTTAGTCCAATATTGAAATTCCAAAGATGCAAAATGTTGGAATCGTCGCCTTCATCAACATTGACTATCTAGAATGTTGCCACTCTCGTCTTCTTCTATGTTGGTTTAAACTGTTTGATTTTCGCTAAAACTTTATTTTGCGAATCGCGAGTTCTTCTCTCATATTCGACTTGAAGCTGTTGTGTAGGTATTGCTATATATCTTTTCATACAGATAAATTTGTTAATTTATGAGAGCTAGATATGATCTCCCCATTGCCGTTTTAGTTCTTTGTGTGGAAAGAATTTTTAAATTTTTTCAATTTTTACAATATCTACAAATTTCTTATAAGTTTGTATCCTGGTTTTTTTTTTACCATAATCTCTAATTTTACAAGTTACAATATTTTGGAATTTCCACGCATTCATTCTTTAGAATTCTCTAGACAATGGTGGAACAGAAACAAATATTGGAAAAGGAGAGAATTTTTAGTCGTTGGAGTGACACTTTGTACGTTTTTTTAAATTTAATAATGTATGTATATTTGATTTGGATTAATGTATGTGTATTTGTTGTTTAATTAAGTGTAGATCCGAAATGTGATGGTGATACTGAATCACTGATAGCTAATGAGGGTGACTAAATGTAAATAACTATACATGCAAGAACATATTGTTTAGGTTATGATGAAGAGACTAAAGTTAATATGTGGGAGTGTGGGCGATATACAGTACACTTTCCCATTGATTCTTTCCCAAACGCATCATCATATACAGGGTTTTCGCGAGAGATTCCTTTCACACAAAAAAAACCTTTAACTAAAAGATAAGAAATATAGCACTACAAAAATTCTGAACAGGCCAAACACTCTAAATCATTTTTTTTCTTAAACTGAATTATATATTTTCTTTTTTTTTTGCGAAAAGAAAACTGAATTATATTCCTTTAGTCTCCATTGTTTTCCTGTAGAAGAAGCAACTCTAATCGTTTTGACCAAAGTAATTGACTATAAACATTCATTTTATTAATTCATCCGTCTATTAACAACACGAAGAGGTGATTCTTTAAACCATTATATCAAAGCCTATAATAAGCTTAAATTATAAAAATAAAAAATCGGTTTTGACTCGTAACGAAAGACATACAAAAAAAGTAGGTCACCACAATTGACCAATTAGCATAACTATGTCGTGGTAGTGTCACTAAGACGACAACGACACCACCCAAAAGTTCCACCTTTCTCTACTAAACATAATCATCGTTGCGTCATTTATTTCCCATTTTTATTTAAATCACTAATTACTTGACGCATGTCAAGACAATATGTTCTTGGAATATATACAAAATCCTTACATAATTACATTTTTGATCCACATACTTTATAAACATTTGCTTTTCATCCGTAATCGCTGGAGCCTTCACACTCAAGTACTCATCACAAAAGTCATTGGATTTTAATATAAAGTAGGCTAATTATAAAAGCTAAAACATCTGCGTTATCTTTTGACAATTGACAAAGTGTTTGTAATCTTTATAAAGACAAATATTTTTTCACTCTATTTTGTTGTAAAGGTTCAATATTCACATGGTATTCTTCACCTCAGAGGGATATTTACATACACTCAAAGATTCACCATATCAAAAATCTCCACTAGATGGAAGAATAGTTCGGAACTATAAACTTTTGGTTTTTGTCGGCTAGAGCAATAAAGTTAATATTTTGAAATTAATTAATTGCATAAATAGTACTCCTCGTATAATAACGCTCTGAAAAACAAACGGTATAATTAAATTTTAAATATCAGTATTCCGAAGATACAACAAATATATAATATAGCTATCTAAATGACTAAATAGTAAATAATAATGTTATATCGTTACGCTGTTGAAACTGTATTGTTACGCTAGATATTAAAAGTATCTTTGATGTTTAACTTAATATTTGTTTACTAGTAAAATGGTACGTAGCTTAACTACTAATCAGTTCTACAAAAATGCAAAACATCAATAAATATATGTGGCATGAAATTTGGTTTTGCAGAACTCGAGCTGCATTGAGCTAAGAATATTTTAGGGTTTTACAAAATAGCTGACTACAGATTTCTAAACAACAAACTTTTTTAGAGGTGGACTACTAAAACTGGTAGTAATCGATCTTCAGATAACCGTAAAATTATCAGAAACAATAAGCGACTATGCGTATCCAAAGAAGAAAAAATAATGAGATTTTTGAAAGTGGAAAAGTATAGATGTATAATTATATATAATTGCCTAAAATTAATATAAGCTGCCTAAAAAAAAAATGAATGAAAAGAGAAAAGTAAGAGTCAAATCGAATACCTTTTTATTGGAATCTACTTCTGGGGAATGCATTTGGTAATTGGTAATGTACCTCTCTCTTCGGACTTATCTTCTAGTACGTGTTCAACAGTTCAATAACGTATCCAACTGTAGTGTTTGAGCGTACACTGTAATTACAAGTTCGAGATCTCTAATTAACTCTTTTTTTGGTGATTGCGATAGATTATCAATCAGGGAAACCACGTTAGAAAAATTGTGAAACAAAATTTTCAACTATATTTTTAGCCAAAAAAAATTCAGTTTAATCACTCATTTTTTTTTACAATTTTAATTGATTAAAACTTATTAGTCTCTAATTTCTATTGACTAAATCATTTTAGTTTCATTTTTAAATAATGACATTTACATGAGTTTATGGAACATATTATAGACAAAATAAATGTAAAGAAAGGTTAGATATGAAATAGTTATATTAAGATTGAACACATAGAATAATAAACCTATACTTAAATGTTATATACCTGGTTTTTTGGCTAAGCATATGTAGTTAGAGTCTTTTATTAGACCATCTCTAATCCATTTTATTATATTTTCCTCTAAAATATAAATTTTTAAAAATAAAAGCATATTTTTCTCTAAATCATCTCTATTTTAGAGGAAAATATAAAGGTATTTATTTTTTTTCTTTATATTAGAAGGAAAATATAGATCTCTATTTTTTCTTCTAAAAGTAAAAAAAAAAATATATAGCAATATATTAGAAATGCTCTTACCCAGCTGATCTTTAGTTCGAAAGAATCGATTTCTTTTTCCAGGATAATATCCATCAGATTCTAAACTTTTTTTTGTTTTTTCAAAATCAGATTGGATCCGATTGTGGAATTTTTTTTCCCAATTAACATGTCAGTATTTTATTTACGTACATATACAGTTAGCATTTCAAGTCTGAATCGGATGGCGGTCAAAGTTAGTTTCTGAGACTTACTAATGTGTACTATTTGGTTAGTTGAAAACAAAATTATAATATTAAAAATAGCCGATATTCCAATGATCAATGTTTGTTTGTCCTTAATTGGTCTGAAAATAATAAACTTTTCTGTGGTAATAATGATTGGTCATTGAGTAAATTTCCTTTTCCAAAAGGGGAAAGACAAAAGGAGGCCTTTGTGACGAAAGAATATAAGAAAGTGGAAGATAAAAGTAAAACAAAAAAGAGAAGGTTTTTTTTCTTCTTCATTATTATTAATAAAAGACTTTTTCAATGACAATGACACAAAAGTAGCATATAAATTGGTGGTGGTGGAATTTATAAAGGAGTTGGGGCCTAATCACTTACTCATGCTTTTATTCTTTACCATATCACATCCATCTAATCGCTAAAAAGTAAAATTATATCACTGTCTACCACTGAATATATGCTTAATTAGCATTGAGTTGACCTGTCTTAGACTCTTTTAGTTAATCATTCTTATTACGAATAATACCTCTCAATTTTTGAAATTCATAAACTGATTTAAAAATCCTATTCACCTAAAGTATCAAATTTTATCCAAATCAATTTAATTTTCTAACTTTTTCAAAGCAGAGTTTTCTACCATGATCATCGTGTTTTATTTTCTCTACAATTATTTTTTTCTTAAAACAAACTAATCGATCAGTACAAAGCATTCGTTTATCTTGACTGATTCTCTTTTAGTTGATTTGACTGGAGAACTTGTTATGATTCTGAAAAAGAAAAAAATCAGTGGCTTTTATGTTTTCCTATATAGAAATTTTTTTGGAAAACTAAATCTCAATGAATTCCTCACTATTAAAAAAATTTAAAAATTTAAAAAGAGAATGAGATGAATCTTTCATTTGAGAGATTTTGAGAGACTCATGAGAGACTCTCAAGCCATGTGTTTATCCATGATTGGTTTATTTTTGTATAAATTAAAATTTAATTATTAAACTAAATTTTACTTAAAATAATTAAATTATATTACATGAGAGACTTAACACCAATACAGATGCTCTAAAAAGCTTTAAGCAAATTATATATTCACCTTTATTGGTTGCGTATTCTATAGGATGTTTGTTTGCGACCTATAAGGGTTTATGCTTTTTTAACTAGTGAGTGTTGCTTCTCCATCTTCAGTAACAATAATGAATGTTCAGTAACAATAATGAATGTACAACACTATTTATTCACAAGAGAATGTAATCTAATATAGATACAAATAAGATTCCAACCTTATCTTGGATTATGACAAGTCTTCCATAAATAGTAGACTAAAAAACATAGGGGTACTTAATTAAATAAACTTCAATATGTTACGTAAGAAGATCCAAATCAATTTTAGCCTATGTTTGTATACTCATTGTATTGTTAATGGATTGAGAACAAAGCCTTTAGACGTTTCCTCTTATGAATCATCTCTTTGTATAGTACCTGCACATTGGTACTCAAAGGGGTATATATATATTATGATTTCAGTTTTTTTTTTTCTTTCAGTTCAATGCATTTAAACCACAAACACATTTATTTGGTTCTCTATGATTTTCCTGATTTTGTTCGGATACCATGGAACAAATTTTGATTTAGTTATCATTTATACAAAAGAAAAACAAATCTTTTGACATTTTTTCCTCTATTTAAGATATTTAAACCAAAGGGCTAAATCAGAATTTAGTTTGGTGTAGAAATATACTACTGCTTAGTTACTTAATGTGTACAATACAATACAAAGTTGGAAAATAACGGAAAGAAGAAGATTTGCAAAGATACTCCAAACTTAGATATTTTTCTTGTCAGCTGAATAAAAAGATACGTAAGATAAGAATAAAACAAGAGGATATTAAAATTGTTTAATATAAAAATAACAAAAGAAGAATAATTGCGAGGGAAAAAATAAAAATGATGGATTGTCAAATCTAGAATTAATTGAAATTTTGAAAGGAGTTTAAGCGAATAGAAGTAAAGGGAGATCTTTCACTTGGGCCATAGAGAATCTATGCTCACCACATGTGCCTTTGCTTCTTCAATATACACGAGGATTGGGGGCAAACAATAACAACAACAAAATTACAAATTTGTATACTATACAATTATACAGTTAATAAATAATTCAAAATATATAAAATATAAAATATTTTTAGTGGGACCTATTGACAATAGACCAGTTAAACAGCGACTCTTCTTTCTACATATCCACCAAGCGTAAGCCTGAGGATTGAAACCAAAGTAAAGAAGCAAACAAACATAAAACTTATATATATAAATTAATATATATCTTTTTCAAAAAAGCGACTACACGGTTTGATTTCTTTGTCGTAGCAATCCATTTCCAGAAATTTCACGCGCGATTTCTTTATACATTTTCTGATTATCTGCTTCTTCTTTCTTGGTTTGTTTTTCTTTTGTATTTTTATGATTTTTATTGGTTGGTGTAGTTTGTATTGATCTTGAGGTGGTTTAGTTTGAGTTTGGTTAAACCGGCGGCGATGCCGACACCGGTAAGCACGGCGAGGCAATGTTTAACGGAAGAAACAGCACGTGCCTTAGACGATGCAGTAGCCGTCGCGCGTAGAAGAAGCCACGCACAAACGACGTCGCTTCACGCCGTTTCCGGTCTCTTAACGATGCCTTCATCGATTCTCCGTGAAGTGTGCATTTCACGCGCCGCCCACGGCACGCCTTACTCTTCCCGTCTCCAGTTTCGCGCGCTGGAGCTCTGCGTCGGCGTATCTCTCGACAGGCTCCCTTCCTCGAAACAACCAACGGCGGCGGAGAACGAAGTTGTGGAGCCGCCGGTATCGAACTCGCTCATGGCGGCGATCAAACGTTCTCAGGCGACTCAGAGAAGGCATCCCGAGACTTATCACCTCCATCAAATCCACGGGACTACTCAAACGACGTCGGTTTTGAAGGTCGAGCTTAAGTACTTCATACTATCCATCCTTGATGACCCGATTGTGAGTCGGGTATTCGGCGAAGCTGGGTTTCGAAGCACCGACATCAAGCTCGACGTACTTCATCCTCCGGTGACGCAATTCGCTTCGCGATTTCCGCGATCTCGTTGTCCGCCTCTCTTTCTCTGTAATCTCCCGGAATCTGATTCGGGTCGGGCTAGATTCGGGTTTAGCGGCGATTTCGACGAGAATTGTAGGAGAATCGGAGAAGTTTTGGGTCGGAAAGATAAGAAGAATCCTCTGCTCGTCGGAATCTACGGTGGTGAAGCTCTGAAAACGTTCGCTGATTCGATTAACAGAGGAAAGTTAGGGTTTTTGCCTCTGGAGATTAGTGGATTAAGCGTAATCAGTGTAGAGAAAGAGATTAGTGAGGTTTTAGTCGATGAATTAGTAAGAATCGTGGAAGGAAACTGCTCGAGATCGAAATCAGGGATGGTACTAAATCTGGGAGATCTCAAGGTCTTGACCGGCGAGGAATTTTCCGGTAATGCTCTCGTGACGAAGCTCTCTGATCTGTTGAAGATTCACCGCGAGAGACTCTGGTTCATCGGGAGTGTTTCGAGCAACGAGACGTATCTGAAGCTGATCGAGAGGTTTCCGACGATCGACAATGACTGGAATCTTCATCTTCTTCCGATTACATCTTCGAGCCAAGGGGCTTACCCAAAATCAAGGTGATGTCTTTATATGTTTTTTCAATTGTTTCGTCTTCAATGTCGAAAAAGTTTAAATCTTTAATGATGTTTTCTGGTTTAATATATACAGTTTGATGGGATCATTTGTTCCATTTGGAGGGTTTTTCTCATCAACATCAGATTTCAGAGTACCGTTTAGTAATAACTCAATGAACCAGTCTCTTCTTCCTCGGTGTCATCTCTGTAACGAGAAGTACGAGCAAGAAGTCACAATCTTTGCTAAGTCCGGTTCAAGTCTCTCCCTCACCGATGATCAGTGTTCGGAAAAGTTACCTTCTTGGTTACGAAATGTAGAATCCGAACAAGACAAAGGGATGATTCTCAGAAAGGTGCGGCTTTTAATGAACTTTCTTCCGTCTGGAATCATCAAAACCTCTCTCTGTTACTATCTTGATGAGTGTTTGCTTCTCATTCAGTGCAGGCTAAAGATGATCCAAACGCATTAGCCTCTAAGATTCCTTCTCTTCAGAAGAAATGGGACGACATTTGTCAGAGGATCCATCAAACTCCGGCGTTTCCTAAGCTCAGTTTCCAGCCAGTGAGACCTCAGTTCCCTCTCCAACTTGTTTCTTCGACGTCAGGGAGCTTTCAGGGGATGGTGGCTCAAGCGCAGAACCCGCCGCACCAACCCGGTTTATCGGTTAAAATCTTGAAGCCAAAGCAAACGGAGGATCTCGCGAGCCGCAAAACGAACTCTCCTATGAGCTGTGTGACGACGGATCTAGGGCTTGGAACAATCTACGCATCGAAGAAAAACCGGGAATCGAGCACACCGGTATCTCTTGACCGGAGAGACCTTGAGAAACCTTTCTTTGCGGTTTCGAGATATTGCAAAGACTTCAAGTCTCTGAGAGAGTTACTCTCTCGGAAAGTCAGCTTGCAGAAGGAAGCTGTGAGTGCGATTAGCGAGATCATCTGCGGATACAGAGATGATGATTCCAGGAGGAGAAGCCACAGTGTTTGGCTAGCTCTTCTTGGACCTGATAAAGTCGGGAAGAAGAAAGTAGCAGAAGCTCTCGCTGAGGCCTTGTTCGGTGGCCAAGAAAGCTGCATCTGCGTTGATTTCAAGGCGCAGGACCGTCTTGACGATAGGTTCAGAGGGAAAACAGTCGTTGATTACATAGCCGGAGAAGTGGCGAAGCGTGCGGAGTCTGTTGTTTTCGTCGAAAACGTGGAGAAAGCCGAGTTCCCTGATCAGATCAGATTGTCTGATGCTGTGAGAACCGGGAAACTCCGTGACTCGCACGGAAGAGAGATCAGTATGAAGAATGTTATAGTTGTTGTTACTACTACTTCCGGGATTGATAAAGACAGTGATTGCCAAGAACCTGTCAAGTACTCCGAGGAAAGAGTTCTCAGCGCAAGAAACTGGAAACTTCAGATAAAACTAGCCGACAATACTTCAAATGGTAACAAGAATGGTGTAAATAAGAGAAGACAGGAGGAGTCAGAAACAGAAGTTACAGAGCATCGAGCTCTCAAGTCTCAACGTTCGTTTCTTGATTTGAATCTTCCGGTGGATGAGACTGAAGCAAACGCAGAGGAGGCTTGTGCAATGTCAGAGAACACGGAAGCTTGGCTTGAGGATTTTGTGGAGCTTGTAGATGGGAAAGTGACGTTCAAGATGATTGACTTTGATGGGTTAGCCAAGAACATAAAAAGGAACATACTTTTGCAATTTCATCGGTCTTTTGGACCTGAAACACATCTAGAGATCGAAAACGATGCGATCCTTCAGATTCTATATGCCTTAAGATGGTCATCAAATGAAGAGGGGGCATTTGATCAGTGGCTGCAAACTGTTCTTGCTTCAAGCTTCGCTGAAGCGAGACAAAAGTATTGTTCCACTACTTCCTTCACTGTGAAACTTGTCGCCTCCAGAGATTCTACGGCTGAAGAGGAAACCGCCGGAGTACAGTTTCCGGCGAGAGTCGAAGTGATCTGATTATTTCTGTTTTTATCTCATATTATATGTGGTGGTGATGATAGTTATATAGGTCTCCTTGAGAGTTTTGTCATCGGCTTTGGTTTGAGTTTGTGCCTTGTCACTAAATGTATATTATAGGCTTAAACTGTGGTACATAGCTTTTAAATGAGTGTCAAATTACCACAGCTTTTGGTTTAGCCTTTTTAGGCATCTCTTCTAATTTTTTGTTGTTGTTTTTTTTACCATAATTTCGATTATTCTATCGGTGAATATATTCATATAACGATATATACTATCAGTTTCATATTAGGCTTCTGCATTTTTTCAGTGTGCTAAATTTGTAAGAAAGACAAACTACTATGGAACATTAGCTTTCTAAATGAATTATATGTTATTTATTTTTGTGAAGTAATTTTGTTTAGGTGGTACATGAAACTTTCTGTAAGTGTAGAAAACAGACACACACAATCAATGACTTGGAAAGCGCCAAGTCGAACGCTAAGATTTATTATTTCGAATCAACAATTTAATCAACTGATTACAATTGTTTGGATTTATGCAACTCTACTCTTAGAAAGCAACCAAACGATTCCTAGTAACAAAACCTACACTTCTCTTGATCCACAACACGTGTATCAGAGAAGAGGACACTAACCTTCTTCCTATGTCTTTCTTTGGGGTACAAGGTAAAGCTATATCAATTGCGGCGCAAAGTGTGTCTTTGTACTTTACCCGACTTCAAACTATATATACTCTACGAAGCCTAAACCTAGACCCCTATTACCAAACTCTCGTAAAGTAAGTTTCCATTTGTTCTCCTTGTGTGCTCTCCAAGCTCCTCCTTGAATTGCCACGTCATTAGCTCCACATCAGCTACAAGCTTCCTTCATGTATCCTGATATCCCGCCTGAGTTGTTTGCTGATTCCACATCTTCAATCTCCCCCTTTTTGACTTAGTTTGATACTTAAGCATCTCCTCAAGAATAACCTGATAAGTCAGCACAAAGAAAACAGCAAAACAGAGAACACACATACGAGAGCAAAAGATTCCCTACGATTAAACCAAGCTGGTAACGTTAAGGTTCTTAAGTTACAGACCCGAGAATTAAAGAGCGACTTTAAAAGCTAAAGTTCTGTGCGCTCAGCAAAAACAATCAAAAGAGAAAAAAAACAGAAAACTAAATTTTCTTCCCCATTAACCCTGCTCCCCCATATTGTCCTATGAATCTCCCCCTGCTTAAGAGCATAATTAAGTCAAAAACATTAGGTGAACAGGCAACAAAGAAGAGATCAGAGAAAAATTTACCTCCCCGAAGTAATCTGCTGATGATAGACACGGCTTGTGTCAGCACACGACGATCGGCAGCCGTAACAACCAGAGAGGCAGTGGAGGTCGTCGCAACTTCTACACCATCTGGCTTGCCCTCATTCTTCACACTGATCACAGGAGGTGCACGAAATGCCAGCACAGGATCCATCCGAACACCAGAATCAATAGGAATGGGTCCCTGACGCTAGATCATCTTGTAGATTAAACTCGGATAAGACAGAAGAAACTTAGATCCCGGATGCCTTGCAAGTCTGAGGATGTGGTCAAACACCATTTCACCAAAGTCAAAAGGAACCTTAGTGAGAATCTTGTGCACCAGGCGAGCACGATTCTTGTTGGAGAAACCAATGTTGAACGTGGGTATCCAGTTGTGACAGCTGATCTTGAAGAGAGCCCACTTATCAGACTGATAATGACCTAACGCCAAATTTTCCCACACACTCACACTACCACCACTCATAAACATTGCCAGTTGATCATCAGAAAGTAACTCCTCCCCCACATTGACACTCTCCATGGCCATTAACTCAAGACCAAAAAGTTGATTGATGACAGCCGGTGAGAAGACATACTCATTACCTCTCAAGAACAGCCGAACTTCACCATCAGAGATCTTGTTGTCAGGGAGATGTGCCCAGAACTCACGAACCACCATGGGTTGAAAGCGATTGATCCCGGAGACAGTCGGAATCAGTCCAGCCTCTTGAATGCTGGTCTCAACTCCGGCGGGAAGTGATTTCAGATCAACCTCACGCTCAGCAAGAAAGTTCCTATTGAGAAATAAATCGAAGCGATCACTGGCTTGCTGAGTCGAAAAACGAGACTCATCGAACTGAGAGGGCGAGGAGGGAGCCTTCTTCTTCGATGGTCGGTTCTTCTTCTTCAAGGGTTCGACTGGCGACGATTCATCTGCCTTAGACTCAGATTTGATGTGACGCTTGCTTCGACGGGTGGCACGAGCACTGGAGACAGATGGTTGTTTGGCAGAGAAAAATTCCAGAGAAGGAGATCGGCTACGACTCCGAGACTACGCACAGGATTCTGCATGTCGCGATGTTGGGGAAGACACGCGAGGAGGCGAAGCGGCACAAGACACCGAGTCGGCTGGGGGAGGGATCTTGGGAACATAAGGCACGATGGCCAAACAGTCGGAGGATCCGATGTTGTCAGCGCCACCAGCAAGAGCCGGGGGTGCTTCATCAACGGCCGTACTGACTGGAGCACCAACGAAACGCGAGAGACCGGAGAGAAACGACTTCATTGCTAGGGAATTGTGACTGACTGAAACCCTAGGCAAATGAGCGGTTGAGAGATAATGATCCAACTGTTCACTTTCCCTCTCTTATACCCTAGAAGCACCGTTTTCCTCCAAACGACACATACCTTCGCGGGCCCGAAAACATGCTTTTAATAGGCCTGCACATAAAGTCTTACAGCAAAAAAACTCAAAAGATGAGCAAGTCAGATCCGTTAATGGTTAGGAAACACTCAACCAATTCATCAAACAGAGAGCACTAGTATAACAGTCTGTCCATCAACACACAACGGGCACTTCATTGTCACTAAACACAGACTTGATGATAAGGAACTCAAAGTGAGGTGAGAAGCAAGCCAATTACTCATATCTTATCACATGTGTGTGCACTCGGGGACATCCTCCTGATGATCCAGAACATGGAACAGACTCGGTCTCAGCCACCCATGGTATACGAAAAAAAAATATGAGTCTCTGGATTCAGGGGTTGACTTTCACACTGAGATACCTTTATCCCTGGTTCAGAACAGCTTTCAACCCCGACAGTTTATGTACTGACACGTCAAAGCTTTTTGACAGAGAATAGACCAGTGATAATGTAAGTGCCATCACTGATGATTGTCCATCTCAGGCCTATCATTACGAAGACACTGGTGCCACATGGTCTTGTCACTCAGCCATATCCACTTTAAAATTACGCTTTCAAATTTTCATTATATTTTTTTAATTTGATCTGCTGAGGACTCACACTTTCTCCAGCTCCTGTGTCAGTTTATGGAAGTCTGCAACTAGTGCTGATTGACCAGAGACGGTACCTCAGGCAGCCTTCTACCACTGAACACTACATATTCAGAGACCCCCTTTTTAAAAGAAAACTGAAATCTGGTGTTGAGTCCGCTCCTGTTCATGTTCCTGTCCAAGATCACAGGAACTCACACACATATGATTAATACTCGCAGACACCAATGGACTTCCTCAGACTGATGAATCTGTTGAAATCCAGTGGTTTAGTGAATAAATCAGCAAGCTGATATTCAGTGCTCACGTAGCTGATCTCAATTAGTTTTTCCTCAACAAGTTCTCTTATGAAGTGATGTCTGATATCTATGTGTTTAGTGCGTGAGTGCTGAACAGGATTTTTAGCAATATTAATAGCACTCTCATTATCACAATGAATTAGAAGAGATTTATATTCCATACCATAGTCAGCGGTCATCTGCTTCATCCACAAGAGTTGAGCGCATCCACTACCCAGAGCAATGTATTCGACCTCCGCTGTCAATAGTGAAACGCTGTTCTGCTTCTTGCTATGCCAGGATATAAGATTGTTCCCTAAGAAGAAACATCCTCCACTCGTGCTTCATCGATCGTCTAAACATCCTGTCCAGTCAGCATCACAGTACCGTGCAAGATTCTGATTGGTGTCGACAGTATATAGCAGTCCCATATCTATTGTTCCTTTGACATATTTGATAATTCGCTTGACCGCTTGGAGATGAGACATCTTAGGATTTGCCTGATACCGAGCACAGATACCCACGCTGAGACACAGATCAGGTCGACTTGCAGTGAGGTAGAGAAGACTTCCAATCATTCCACGATACAGTTTGGCGTCAACATCCTCTCCCTGTGAATCGCGTGACAGCTTGCAGTTTGTAGCCATGGGTGTCCTGGCTATCTTATTCTTGTCAAGACCAAACCTCGCAACCAAGTTTCTTGCATATGTGCTCTGAGTTATGAAGACACTCTCGTCTGATTGTTTGATCTGAAAATCCAGAAAGTAGTTCAGCTCACCAACCATACTCATCTCAAACTCTCTTGTCATTGTGGCAACAAACTCATCTACCAGCTTTTGATATGTAGCTCCAAATACAATATCATCAACATATATTTGCACTACCATGAATCCTGATTTCCGGTGAATGATGAACAGTGTCTTATCAACACTCCCTCGCTGATAGCCGTTTCTCATCAGGAATATCGTCAGCCTTTCATACCATGCACGAGGCGCTTGTTTCAGACCGTAGAGTGCTTTCTGGAGCTTGTACACATACTGCGGGTGTTTTGCATCTTCAAACCCCTTAGGTTGTTCAACAAAAACTTCTTCTTGAAGAATCCCATTCAGGAAGGCACTCTTAACATCCATCTGATGTAGCTTGATTTGAAGTTTACAAGCCATACCAACAAGCAGTCGAATGGATTCAAGTCTTGCCACATGTGCGAAGGTTTCATCGAAGTCTACTCCTTCAACCTGGGAGTATCCTTGAGCTACCAGACGTGCCTTGTTTCGAACCACATATCCATGCTCATCACTTTTACTCTTGAAGATCCATTTGGTTCCAACAACATTTGCACCCGTTGGTCTGGGAACCAGAGTCCAGATCTGATTTCTCTCAAATTGTTCCAGCTCGTCTTGCATGGCCTTGATCCAGTATTCATCTATCAGCGTCTCCTTGTGATTCTTCGGTTCAATAGTAGACACAAAGCTAGCAAATCTCACCATATTTTTGAAGTCCAATTTGATGTGGCGTGTGACTCTTGCGCCATCAATGTCACCTATTACTTGCTCCTTACGGTGATCTTTTTGTACCTTTCGAACTCTTGCACTGGGAACTGGAGTGAGGTGCTGTCCTGATATATCCGTTTGTCCTGCAGAGGTTGGCTCAGTGGAGTCATCGGCTTCTGAATCTGTTTAACTCTCTATTTCATGTGCTGAATCCTTTTCTGAGTCCTCACCATTTTGTACTTGACCTTGCCCGTTCGCATCAGC